TCATCATCGAAATACGCATCCAATAGATTACAATGAAGAACTCTTATCTTCAGTAAGTCCTTGGAAAATTCAAAATTAATGTCTTCCTTCATTAATCCAATACATATTACTTAATGGTTGATATGGTTCCAGATCAAGGTACAAAGACAGCTTTACATATTATAAAATCTTATTTGAAGTTAGAGTGAAAAAATGATGAACATTCAAAAGCTAAATAAAAAAAAGTATTTTCTGATAGTGTCTAGTAGGTGACAGGTACTAAAAATATCAATTAGATCTAAGTATATTTTTAAATCTGTGTGTCAGGCTTACTTTAACATGGAATTTCTTATGATTCCCAGGTTGAAAAAAGAAGGGAAAATTGTGAATTAAAAAAGCACTGGGATTTTATGGTTGAGATTTTACTGTTGTCAGTTTTCAACAGTGTCATAGATGTGGGCAAGCCTTGTATTGAATACTTTCAAATCCACCTAAAGTAAACTATATCTAAATTTTTATCAATTTCGAGTTTACTAATTTATTTATAGAGTACAAGGAATGCAAACAAAATACCCAGAAATAATAATCTACCATTTCTTGTACTATCCATTGTACACCTGATATCTTCCTATGACATACATGTTTATAATAACAAATTTATCCCTAATTCATCAATGGCATTGTGTCTATCTTTAGGGATGCTGAAAGCATAATGGAAAATAGTATGGCACCCTAAACTAGGGTAACTTGTATTTCTACTGTACTGGTTATTGGTTGTGTCTATGAATGTTTTACCATCACAATTTTTTTTTCCCTCTAGTCAAAAAGAAGCTTATTGCTGAATTTCCTCTCTACCTGTAGAAACCATGTAGGCCCACAGCTTATGGATTTTTCTTCATGACTCTTATTCTACAATGTATTATTTCCATACTGTCCCAGGAATTGCTCTCTGTTCTCCCCATCTGTCCTCTGCTTCTGTTTTACAATCTTTCCTGAGTACATGGTTGCCAGATTGGAGTTCGTTTCCCAGAAATCTTTAGTATGATCATGTGACTAGGTGATGGCTAATCTATAACTCCAAGTGTCTTGTTGCAGCCTCCAGAAATGTTTCTTAGAGATCTGGATGCCTGCTTTGTTCCTTGGTCATTTTCTTTCTGCCCTCCTATATCTTATCACCCAGAAGGTGCACAATGCCATCTTGGATCATGAAACTGGGAAGCGGGAACTGCTGCCTAAGACACTGAGTTCCATAATACACCAGCTAAAGAGCACATGTACATATATACATATGTGCTTCTTTCCTAACTGTATAGATATGTTAATTAAATGTTACCTCAAGTCATTTATAAAATAAGATATTACATCAAATAAAAGCATATAAATGCCTTAGAAATTTGCAGAGCTTTAGAAAATATAAACTATGTCTTTCACAGCTTGCAGAAGGCAGCTTACAGTAATTGTGCTACTGGGGCTTGTACAAATCACCAAATCTTTAATGTGAACATATATCATGAAGAATACTACATTGAAAATTTTAATTTATCTGAAATAGGTTACAACATTAATATAAACTGAAATCTTAGCTATATATTCTGGCAAGATTACACAATATAATTTCTAGAATATTAAAATGCTCCCTATATTACAAGAAAATGGATTTTTGCATCCATACTTTATTGTACTATACATGCAGTCTAAATTACTATGGCATTTAAAAAATAGCAGCGTTTATATATGCACTCTCACTGAAAACATTTAAAAACTAGCTATCGCATGCACATATTTAAATGAACTTTCTTTGGAAAGGCAATAAAGATGTCAAAATTAAAGTCCTTTCACAAATAGCTTCTCAAGCAATTTCCCAGAACAAACAATAATTTATGCAAAGTGAAGGGTAAAGAACTGAATTTCATTCAGTTCAATTGTTTTTGTACTATCCACGGTAAGTCAGGGAGAAACAGCCTAGTCAGAAATTACTTTGAACCGATAAACATGTGCTCTTGTATGTCCAGTGCAAGTCTAGCAGAAAATTCCAATTTTTCAATTTCCAAACTGATCTACTTTCACTCTGAATTCTGGATCACGGCTGGAAAACAATGTGAAAACTGGCACTGCAGCATCTGTGAAGAACATACTCTGTACACTCCAAGTTTTGAAACATCCTTATCTAGCAACTATGTTTGCAGTGCAACATGAGATATTTTTCCTGTACAATATATTGCATAAAAATATTCTCTAATGGGTTTGTGTGATACAAATATATTTTTCCAATATAAATATCAGGCAAAACTCCCCAGTAAAGTAAGATTTTATGAAGTCTGAGTATTAAAATTCAAGAGATGTTCTTTTGGGAAAATATCAACGTGGAAAGCACTCTAGAGTAGGTCCATGTATATAAAAATGACCTTCTTTTCCTTCCCTATCCACAAATTAGTCAAGTCACCAATTTTTGTGAGTTTAGTAATTTTTAAAAGGCTTTCCAGAATTAAAACCTTTAGTCCCTCAACCTCGCCTTTGTCTCCTGTCATGTCAGTCTCCTTACGGATTTTAATGTGCCTGCTCATTCTTCTCCATCTTAATAAGGAATAACAAATTAAAGCACTACATTTGGCGAGCAGATATTTTGGGGCTTTTTTGAGGGCAATTTCTTTGAAGGGGACAGAAAGGCCAAGAGGATCTGAATATCTGAGTAATGAATGGGATGCGAGGAAGGAAGAACAGCTAGTATGCCACAGTATATGATTGTAAGAAATTTATTTTGATGACAATTTTGCCAATTGCTAAATTATGAAAGATAAAAATAATTGCTTGATTTCATAATTTCCCTAGCAGGGAAAAGGAGAGGCAGGATTAAAAAAAAGTAACACAATGCTGACTACGTACTAAGCATTGTTTAAGACTTGCTGTAGGTTACCTCAATTATTTTTGTGTCACTCAATTGGATTCCAATAGTCCCATGTTTACAGAAGATAAGAATTAAGTAAATGAGAGGCCATCACAAGCTAGTAATCAGTGCCAAGATGCAAGTTCACCTATTTTTATCTCCTTACACTTTCACTGTACACAAAGCATCACTGCAACAGTCACTAGATTATCAAGCCCAAGCAGCATACAATCAAGACTCTGAATTCCTATGCAGCAGCATTCTTATCTGTAGGTCTTTTAAACTACTGTGAAAATATTTCAGGGAATGAGTGGCCTGAAAGAGGAACTAATCCATACAGTCCCCCTTGCTTTACACACTGTTTTCTTCTTTTAAACAAAATTGATTGCCATGTTATATTTTAAAACAGATTTATTGTATAACTCTCATTTAGAAATAATTAAGATTAGACACAAACACATACACATACGCATATACATATACTCAAAACTTGACCCATGCCCCTATTTTACTTAGAATTTATAAATATCTGTCAATAAGCAGAGAAAATAATAGTGACTGAATTTGCATATGGACATTCAGAAGAGGAGCACTGGTTATGTTTTCATTCAAATTAATCAAACAATTATTTTTATGCCTCATCAGTTAGCAATTAACAAAAATTACCTTCAAAGTAAGTTCTTAAATATGACATCTTGGGACTCAATAATAACTTTGTATTACTTTTGCTAATAAAGCCCTGAGTTTATTTTGATTAATTACTGATTCCAGATTCAGTTCAATTGCATATTTCTAAATATATAGATGTTTTGCTCCTCTTATCTTTTCTATTTTAAGCTATCCTCGATAGAGTTGTTAAGCTATGAGTATGAATACAGATGAAAAGTCTGAGTAAAGTACAGCCATTTTCAAAAGTTTAAAGGAAGTTGACAATGCTTGTGGAATATAGTACCATTTACCCTTCTTTAGTGTGGGAAACTTCCAAGTTAAGTGTTTTCGAAATATTGAAATATTAAGAATTAAATATTTCTAAGATGTATGCATACACACATTTTTATTACACAACAAAAAGGAGAGCTTTTCCATAAACAATAAGATTGAAAATGTAAAATAATTATATGTCTGTGATTTTCTGCAACAAAAATAATTTTGCCAAAACAAATGAGGCCAACATATTCTTAATAAATACTAATAATAATGGAAGCTTAGCCTTACATGCTTACACTACCTAGAGAATACTGGTAAAGTAAATACCAGATAGTTTTTCTAGTGTAAGAAATTGAAAGTATAAATAAGGATCAAAAATGTATAATAGAGGGCCAAGGATTTAGCTCAGTGGTGCCATCACCCGCCTTGCAAGCGCAAGGTCCTGACCCATGTACAAAAAAAAGAAAAAGTAAAATAGATAATGTGAAATAAGAAGAAAAGGTCAAAAGGAATAGGGGAAGTAGGAAGAGCAAGGGGAAAGAAAGAAGGGAAAGGAATAAATATGGGAAAATGAAAAAATGGAAACAAAGTCTTAGTAAAAAGGGAAGGATGGAGGGGTTGAAGGGAGGGCAGGGGAATGGGGAAAAAAGTAAAAATCAAGATATATCATGTAAAGGTACAAATTCCCAATGATGAATGTCAGGATACTGTATACCTAAAAGGTACCAATAAAATTAATGAGTGGGAAAAAAAAGAATACTGGTAAAGATGCCAAAAGAAAAAGATAATGTAAAATACTTATTTTTTATTAAATAAATGCCTACTATACACCGGACATTAAGCTAATTAAGTGGACAATTACTTCTTTTCATTCATAAGAGCCTCAGACCCTAAGAAATAGGTGTACGCCCTCTCTGCTTTCAGATAAGAAAATTGTCTCAATTCTGAATCATATTACAAGTGCACGAGTCTTATCTATGAGGAAATTGAGTAAACAGAGACTTCAGAAACTGGTAAATATAAGAGCTTGGAGAAAATTTAGAAAACATTTTTATGAGCACAGGCTTGGAAAATCATTTTTGGGGTGCAAAAACGTTTTCATTCTTGATAAAGCAATGGATTACTAGGCATTTATGTCATTTTTCCCCACTTCCTTCCTTTCCATTCTCCACACTGCAAACACACCAACCAAACACAAATTCCGGCATACCTGTTGGAAGAGGAACAGCTGGCTCTTCCTTCAAGGAGGTGTGGAATGACAGACAATTCCTCGTAAGCACGATGTCATCGAGGGCAATATGACCATGGTGGGATTTCCCGATTCTGCCTTCAAATTTGAGCTGAAAGTCCTCGTCACCGAATAGTGATAATTCTTTTCTCCTCCAGAAATTGCCTTGTTCTTCAGTGAGGTTAAGTAAAACCTTCGTCTGGTTTGTGACTGATACCTGGGTCAATGTGAGAACCCCCGTGCTATTTCCATACATGTGGTAACGAAAAATGATCTGCAACCAAAAAAGAAGCATTGCATGTGATGAGTACAAGTAATTCCACTTTATTTAATTACATCACAATGCTCTCTCCTTTATTAACAGATGTAGAAAGAAAACTGTGCTTTCTGGTATAGTCTACTGCTCTGTGAGTGCATTAACACTGAGTGAAGTTAGGTCAGCCTTGAATCACACTTTTGCATTGTATGGAAGACAATGCAGTAAGGTTTGAATAGGAATTCAACTGAGTTTACTTCTTTCTATGGCATCTAAAAGCCAGATTCCTTGAGGCTCTAGTTTGAATGTGCCCCACAAAAGTCACATGTGGGGCACTTAATCCCAATACAACAGTGTGGAGAGAAGGGGCCTTTAGGAATTCCTTAGGTCAGGAGGACCCTGCTTTCATGAATGGATGAATGTCACCATGGCGACAGTGGGTTCATTATCCCAAGAGAGGATAAAATCATATGTTTTTGCTTATGTGCCCACATTCTTGTAGAAACATTATCAGTTCTGCAAGATCCTCAGAGCTCCACTGTTTAGAGACCAGCAGAACAGCAGTTAACAAAATTTTACTTGAAATGCTAGAAATGAGCCAGAGAAGAGCAGCCTTGGAAAATTTTCTCCATGTAAAAATTGATCTTAAAAAATCAACATTTCAACATATCCAAGGAGTTTACTACATTTTTCATCATTGTTACACTGCAGGAAAAGGTCAAAGGAAATACTGGAAGAATTAAAGGAAGCAGTTAGGAATGACAGGAATTCAGAGCTTTTTGAAGTTTCTGTCTTGTTATTTGGACAAATGAAAGAAAACGGTGATCTTCACGTAAGAAAACATTGAAATACTAGCAGTCATGAATGCCACACCCTTGAGAAAAGGTAGACGAATGTTTAAAGTATAAAGAATGTCATTACACAATATACGCAGTGCACTAGTTCAAAAAGCAGGGACTAAAAATAGGTAAGCCATGTAAAGTGACCGCCCAAATTTCCTAGCTGATGAAGTTTCCAAGTACCATTCTATGATTCCAAAGTATCTCTTATATTGATTGACTTTCCAACAAGAACACTACACCTGTTTCCTGGGATTGCTGAAACCCAGCCAGCACTACTTATTTGAGTGAAAAATCAGAAAGGCCAGGGGCCACCTGTGGACAGCAGTTATCCTGGCCCAGCTGTGTGGCACCCTTGGGTCCCATTCAGCTGCTGCTTTGCACTTGTACTATTTGTGCAACAAATGTGAAGCATATGTTTTATATCTCAAACAATACTTATCTACCTTAAAGTCATTTTATGAATGAAGTCATCAGGTTAAGATGCAAATAAACCCCACGGGTCAATTTCTATACCACTCGATGACAACATAACCCAAACACAGGGCAGCAAGGGTGAATAAAAGTCTGTTACATGTTAATTCTTCTCTGGAAGTATTTTACTTGACATGCCCATTGATCAGATATTTGATCTCTTTTCTCGTTGATCTCTGTCTGCATTCCCCCATTCACTTACTTTTGAAAAGGGGGGATTTTAATTTTCTGTGCTTAATGGTATCTGCTTACTTGACCCACATGTTTGGTATATGAGAAACTCAACAGTTCTCAATGTGACCTTTCCTTGTCTCTCCATGTTTAATCTGTATCATAAATAGTTATAAAAAGAATCATTCATCATTAATTTCTGACATCTTTTCCAAGTATACTTCATTATTCTCCTACAGATGCTTAAAATAGTGGAGACTATCCTTCTGGGACCCAGGGAAAACAGAGATAGATGAAATCCTTAGTTACTTCAGTATGAAAAAAATCTTTGGAACATGTGCAGAAGTATCTCTTCAGAAAAGCTTAAAAGTCAAAGTTGAATTTTATACGTTTCATATTTAATATTTAATCAGATTTCTAACTGAAACTAAGTTATAATTTTCAAAATTTCTAAAGATATATAAAGCTAGATTAATAGGCATAGACTCAAATATATAAAACCTGGCATGCTTGGATTTTTTATATTTGAGACAGTATCCAGTAATTTGCAAGACAATAAGACATATGAAAATTATATTTGATTAAGACTCAATTTTTGACAACTTGATGAAAGTTTAATGTTATTCTGTGACTGGTTGCTTCCATTCTGGACTGCAGACAGTTCTCTCTTCACCCTCGATGATTTGCCACTTGCAGGAAATCTCACAGCCTATTGGAAGGATTTTGCTCTGAGTTTATGAAATCAGCCAAAGATGAGATAGAAAAACTCCGAAGATAAATTAAAGGTCACGTATTAAGACTTAAAACAGAGGAGGGCGGGGCAAACGGGAGGAGGAGTCGCCACCGGAAAAGGCTGAGGCATTGCTCTAGTGACCCAGAGCTGTCACCTGAGATGATTCTATCACTGTAGCATTCCCGCAGGTGGACTGCGGAGCATAAAGGCAGCTAAAACCCCCCAGAAATCCTGGAAATTCTCTTGGCCGCAGCGATGTGGAACCTTTTCTTGCCAGAAGGCAAAAGAAGAAATCAGAAGTGATGTCGCGTCCAAAACATGCCCGGGCTTGAGATTTTTAAATATCTAAATTCTAAGAATACACTGGATATCACTCTTATAATTCCAAGAGGAAATCATGAAGAAGTGTTTTAATTATTGAAAACCATAGTTGAAATCATGGCTACATCACTAAACCTGGACATTGGAGCCCAGCTGATAGTGAGAGAGTGTTCCAGCAATTACGGTCTCTCTGCCATGCCAGACATTAAAATCATTAAAATAGAACATCCACTGGACCCAAATTCAGAGGAAGGATCAACTCAGGGTGTTGCCATGGGAATGAAATTCATACTGCCCAACCGCTTTGATATGAATGTGTGTTCCCGATTTGTGAAATCCTTAAATGAAGAGGATAGTAAAAATATTCAAGATCAAGTTAATTCTGACCTGGAAGTGGCATCTGTCCTATTTAAAGCTGAATGCAATATCCATACATCTCCTTCTCCTGGAATTCAGGTAAGACATGTCTACACACCCTCTACCACAAAGCATTTCTCACCCATTAAACAGTCAACTACTTTAACCAACAAACACAGAGGAAATGAGGTCTATACCACACCTCTGTTAGCAAATTCTTTGTCCATCCACCAGTTGGCAGCTCAGGGAGAGATGCTCTACCTGGCTAACCGCATTCAACAAGAAAATGTTGTCAATCACACGGATGAAGAAGGATTTACTCCTCTGATGTGGGCTGCAGCACACGGGCAAATAGCTGTGGTAGTATTTCTACTTCAGAGTGGTGCTGATCCCCAACTTTTAGGGAAAGGTCAAGAAAGTGCACTGTCATTGGCCTGTAGTAAAGGCCACATGAATATTGTCAAAATGCTGCTTGATGGTGGAGTTGATGTAAATGAATATGACTGGAATGGAGGGATACCTTTGCTTTATGCTGTACATGGGAATCATGTGAAATGTGTAAGGATGCTTTTAGAAAATGGAGCTGATCCAACAATTGACACAGACTCTGGATATAATTCTATGGATTTAGCAGTAGCCCTGGGCTATAGAAGCGTTCAACAGGTTACTGAGTCACATTTGTTGAAGCTGCTTCAAAATATCAAGGAGTGACACAGTCCTCAGAAAATGTAATCTGTCCTCTGTTCACTTTCTAGTCCTTATAAATGATAGTTTTGTTTACTTTTAAATCTTTATCTCCGTTGCAATATTTTCTGATTTTTTTGTAAGTTTTAATAAATATTCTTCTAAGGAATTCACTGGTTTATAATAAAAATGTTGATGCTTTTTATAAATGTGTTTTACTGTATATTTTAAATTATAAATTAATGTTTTGTGGCATGTAAATTTTTATGGTACAGATAGTTATTGTCTTTGTATCAAGTGCTGTAATTTGACACTTTCAGAAATTTTTCACCCTGTTCATTTTCTCTCTTGTATTAACTCATTGACTTTACATAGAGATTGCTATAAATCCATAGGGAAAACATGTTATTGTTTAATTAAAAACTGCACAGTGTGATTGTTTACAAAATGGTGTTATAAATAAAGTACTTTTTCTGTTTAAAAAGAAAAAGACTTAAAACAGCCACCAATATGCGAGGACAGTACTACTTGAAGACAACAAATGCTAAAATCATGCAATTGTCTGTGAGCCTGATTTGGTCAGCTAAAAACTTTCTGGATGTAACTGGCTTTCTTTGTGCAGTTCGTGTATTACTGAATATTCAAGTCAGAATACATATGGTGAGATTTTATGGAAATTGTATATCTCATCACAAATATAAACAACAGCAAGTCTCTGACAAACAAGTTTCCTGTGATGTCTTCTCCAAGTACTTAATTTACATTATATGTAAAGGTAAATTTAGTTCCTGATTTAGCTGGCTCAAATCTTCCATGGAATCTAAACAAACCAAGCAAATGATAAAGGAAAGTTAAAAAAAACCCTGCAAATAGATCGTCATTATGTGAGTCTGTTAGGTCCTGAAAGCCAAAAAAAAAGCCTATTCATACTTTTAAATTGATACTTTAAAAATTTCACACTTTGTTCAAATCTTCACAAACTAAGGACCAAGTAATGTTGTCTTCTTGCCGACAGAAATTCTTTTTTTTTATCTCCCCCACTCCGGTACTTAGGATTGAACTTGGTCCTTGCGCTTGCCGGGCAGGTGGTGGAACCACTGAGCTAAATCCCCGGCCTGAAATTCTTTTATTTTTAAGGTCAAGTTTACTCTTTCCTTCTTCTTGAAGACTTCTTCACCCTTTTTATTGTTGCTCTACCTGTAATATTAGTGATTAGAGATATTTAATTATATACTGCCTATTTAATTTTTTGTTGGGTAGTTACAATAATTAAATACAGTAACTATTAAATCCTTAAGAACCGACTAGTATTTTATTTTTTTGTGTTATTAATGGTTATAAATAAATCACTTAGTCTTCCAGCGGTTTCCAAAATTTCAATACTCAAAAAATTTATGCATAGGAGACATTCTTCCAGCACTCTAACAATCCTCTCCTTACGTTCTTACTTCCTCTATGCCCCCATACACACTGCAAATTGAATAAATTCAAACTCATATTTGCTCTGGCCCCAATCATTTTAACTTGTTTTTTTACTTTACCAACTGTTGTTACAATGTTTGTTAGGTTTTTTTTCTCCCTCATACCTTGCAGTTTTTACTTCTCTTATTTATCACTGGACTTGATATTCTGGCTGCACTCATAAGCTGCTGTGGGTAAAAGCTCTTTATCAAGATGTAATGATTGGATGAATTTCCCAAAGTGTAGTCCACAGCTGATTCCACATTTGCCTCTGGGATGCTGCTGGCTTTCAGAATCCAGTCTAAATCGTCATCCTGATCTTGCTCCCATGCACAAAGGTCAAATTCAAAATCACAGCGTCCACCGAAGGGGCCTGGAAAACATTTCCAGTCTTATGTTAGAAAAAAAGGAAATCTGCTACCTTCAAAATATGCAATTCAAAATCACAGAGATCCTGCTATATTATACACAAAACCGTGTGATGATATACCGACAGCAACATTTATATAAACTATTTTAGTTTGTTGTATACAGCTATTTTCATGGCACATGTAAGTTCATTTCTCCACAAATCTGGTCCCAATCTCAAAATTACTGGAAAAAAACGCTTTCGAGTTTCACACATTTCTGCCCCCAGATACCTATTTAGCCATTATAATTTATTACTTCTCTTTTCTCATCATTGCTTCTCAGGACTTGGTTTTTAAAAAGTTTATTATTCTGCAATAGCGTTTAGCTTGGGCAATGTTGCCTAACTAAAGTTATCATTAATCATTTTAATTATTTTTTACAACAGCTACTCATTTTAGAGATGTGAAAATTATAAGACAGCAAAGTGGTAGAAAAGATATAACAATAAGAATTAATTTATTGTCATAAGTTGCAGAAATTAAATTTATAAGTTGTGTAGAATGTCAAACTATTTCCCAGGTGTTCTTTGTGTATTTTATTATTCACATTACTTGAGTTGTTCTTTCTTCCATTGCCTGTATAGCAGGAATAATTAGACATCTCTTTATAAGGCTGCAGCTAGCTATAAGGCTAATAAAGCAAGTGTGGATGTTATAAAGTTGAGGATTATGATATAAGGAAGGGATGTATCTTATAAAATTATATGGGTAGGAAATTTTTCATCTTTAAGTATGTCTATGTTGCACTACATAAAACTAGAAAATGACTAATTTGATCACAAGTAGTAACATGTTCAGAATTCACTGAAAACAATACTTATTAATTTTTGTCTTAATATTATAATTGAATCAAAAATCTGTAAAATTATAATTAAATGTGATATAGTGTCCAAGAACTAAAAAAAAAATTGAGAAGATTCAATTGCCATACGTTCGTATGTATTCAGAAAAAGATTTTCCTCTTAATACTCATTTGAAAAAGTTCTCAAATCCTTAAGGTATCTAAATGAGAATAAGAATGATTTTGCCATCAAAACAGTAAGGGATAGCTCTCCAGCAGAGTGGCCAAAGGAAAACAAATATCGTACAGAATCCACAAGAATTTCAGGACAAGGAATTTATTCCATTAGACTGAACTCTAAGAATTTCCAAGTTCTAGTCCATGTGCCATTAAAATTGCTGTTTCTTTATGAATATAGTCTTACCATAAATCACATAAAATGTTTAAAAACATAAAATACTACATTCTTTGTAGTTCATAAGGTGAAGATTACAAAGAACTATGTCTTACCCTTACTGCCATATTATTTGGGGGTATATAAAACTGGTAAAATGAAACCTAATTTTATCAGACTTCTCACTAATATATTTGGCAAAAAATGAAAAAAAGCTTAAATGATTATTTTTAGCTTTTTAAAGAATTTTTAAAGTTTTTTAATTTAATGAAGTATCTAGTAAAATATGCTTTAGAAAATTTTTAGTTCAACAGACTAATTTCAAATGTTTTTGAAAATAGAGAAAAATTTTCTGTCATAATTTTTATTATCTACTTGGCTTCATAATGCCATATATAGGGGTTGAGGTGCTAGTGCTGTAATAAAACCAGTTTGCAAATAGTAGAAAATAAGAAAGTGCCTGTGTCTGCAAGGAAATGTAGGAGACTCCTCCCTTGCAGCAGCTACATTAACATAGTAGTCATCCAATTTTGCTCGATTTTTCTTGAAACTGCAAGATGTAGGTTTCATTTCTTTAACTGTGCACTTGAATACTAATTTCTATGAATGTCAATTTGTCATTCAAAGAAAGAATGTTGTGCAATCAAATGAATGGAACAGACTAAAATTACATAATTTTAAAAACACACTAGTACATTAAAGGCTCTAAGAATTTCCACAATATAGAAAACACTTCTTCAGATAATACTTTCAAATTATCTAAATTACTAAAGAAAATATTTTTTGCAGAATAACTTCTTGTAGAATATTACATAAATGATGCACAGGACAAGATTTTCAAATTCTGATATTAAAACAAACAAGCAAAAAGTGTGACTAGAGAAGCTAGTTTCTAGTTCTCAGTAGGGCACTCTCTTCGCTGCATGACTGAGAAATAATTTGTTTCCCATGAGTGGGGGAAAAAAAGAAACACAAACTTTGGGGTTTGAAATAGTAGAAATTTATTATCTCACAGTTGCAGGCTAGAAGTCTGAAGTCAAGGTGCTGGCAGAGCTCTGTGGGACAAACCTTTGCTACTCACAGTTACTGGCTATCTTAGCGTACCTAGGTTAGGAGACATCATTCCAATCACAAAGAATTCTCCCTCTGCACCCTCATTCTGCTCTCTGAGTCCAAATCTTACACCAATCATCGGATTAGGGCTCACTTTGATCCAGACTGATCCCATTTCAACTTGATTATATCTACAAGGACCTTATTTCTGAGAAGGCAAATTCTGAGGTTCTAGCTGGACATGAGTTTTGAGGGAACACTATAAAACCTAGGTGGACATAAATTCAGGGAGGATACCACACAACCCAGTACAAGAACATTTTCCTTCTTAAAGGAAATCTCTCCAGCTTTCGAGATGTGAAATCATATTCTGTAATGATTATAATTTGGCTTTCTTAAACACCCTTGCTGGAGGAAACATAGTCTCTTTAATAAATGGTGCTGGAGAAATTGGGTTTCAACCTGCCAAAGACTAAAACTAGACCTATATCTCTCACCATGCACTAAACTAAAATTGAAATGGATTAAAGATCTAAATATAAAAACAGAAATGCAGAACCAGCCAGAATAGAGGTTAGGTAGAACTCTTGAAGACACTGGGGTAGGAAAAGACTTTATGAACAAAGCCTCAGTTGCCCGTGAACTAGCACAAACAATCAACAAGTGGGATCTCTTTTTACTAAAAAGCTTCTGCACAGCAAGAGAAACCACCAGCAATGTGAAGAGACAGCCCACAATGTGGGAAAAATTTTCACCAGCCGTCCCTCAGACAAAGGTCTACTATCTCAAATCTATAAAGAACTTAAAAAAATCAGACCTCCCAAATTTAAAGACCCAATCCAAAAATGGGCATCTGAAATGAACAGGCTTTTCTCAGACAAAGAAGTAGACACTGCAAATAAACATATGAAAAAATGTTCAACATCACCAGTCATTCAAGAGATCCAAATGAAAACAACGCTGAGATTCCACCTCACTCCAGAAAGAATGGCTGCTATCATGAAGTCAACCAACAACAAATGCTGGTGGGTCTGTGGGGAAAGAGGAACACTGGTCCACTGCTGGTGGGAGTGCAGACTGGTGCAACCACTGTGGAAGTCAGTATGGAGATATCTCAAAGAACTAGGACTGGAAGTTCCATTTGACCCAGCTATTCTTCTGCTGGGCATCTTCCCAAAAGAATTAAAAGAATCACACCACAGTGATATATGAGCATGCATGTTCATAGCTGCACAGTTTGAAATAGCTAAAATGTGGAAACAGCCCAAATGCCCATCAACTGGAGACTGGATAAAGAAAATGTAGTTTTTTAATAAAATGGAGTCCTACTCAGCCATAAAAAATGAGAAATTAGAGACATTTATAGCTAAGTGGATGCACATTGATGCAATACTCTTAGGCGAAATAAACAGGACACACATGTGTAAATGCCAATAGTTTCTCTATTGTGAGAAACTGAAAGTGTAAATAAGGACTGAAAGGTACAATAGATAATGTCAAATAGGAAGAAAAGGGGCAAAGGGGAGGGGGAAGTGGGAGGGGCAGGGGAAAGGAAAGAAGAGAATGTAATTAATATGAGAAAATGGAAAAATGGAAACAAAGTCTTTGTAAATAGGAAGGGATGGAAGGGTTGAAGGGAGGGCAGGGGAAGGGGAAAAAAATAAGAACCAAGAGAGTATGTAAAGGTGCACATCTCCAATGATGAATGTCATTATACTGTACACCTAAAATGTACCCATAAAAGGATAAAAATAAATAAATAAATAATTTGGCTTTCATTTAAGCTTATGTCTTATGTATTGACCAAAACTATAAGAAAGAAAATTAAATGTGTTATGATTTAGATTTAAAATGTCCCTGCAAATTCTTATGAGTGTGGAAGGTGACTGGATTGTTGTGGGGAACCATCCCACTGATTATGCCCAAAGCAGGCTGCAGGCAGTGCAGGCTGCAAAGGGTGAACCCTGCAATTGGTTCATTTTAAGAAGGGAGTCTGACTGAAGCTTATGTGACTGATAGAAATGCCTCATAAGCACCTCGGTAGCACTTAGCTAGCATGACCTTCCTGATGACAGCCAGAGCAGAGACCAGAGAAATGGCCTGTGAAGCTGTGGAGCTCAAGATGAGATACAGTAGCCAGGGTCAGAGGAGCTCACTCCCAAATTCCATTCCCAGGACTAAAACCTTCTTAGCTGGAAGGACAAGGTTCTAATTACAACCCTATATTTTGTCTATTCTGTTCCTAATTGCAGAATGCTTTGTCTTTTCCTTTACGAGCCTTGCCTGCATTAGTATCCATAGCAACTGCACAACTGCATATCCTCACATGTAGTTCCCCTTTACCCCAATCTGATTACCAATAAAAATCAGTGGCTTGGACTAACCAGGGCATTTGCTGGTTGCTCACCACTGGCTATCCGGGCTCCCCACTTTTTGTTTAATTCTGTGTTTGAGTCTTTCTTCAACCCTGTCTCATAGAGACAGGTCAAGAGACTAGAACCTACTTCAGAGGTCTCCAGGAGATCTTAGGGGTTCTATGTTCAGTAGTGGATTAATAAATGTGCTCTTAGGAGGAGGGGCTGGCTAGGAGTGGGCTACCAGGGGAATGACCTCAAAAGGTTTATTATTCCTGCTCCTCCTTGGCCTCTCTCTCTCTCTCTCTCTCCATATACTGGCTGCCCTCAGTTGAGCACCTTTTTCTCTATCATGGTTCTTTGCTATCCTATTTCAGCTTT